TATATATACCCTGAATACACTGAGCAAAGTATGGTAGCATCAGCCTCCCTTCTGGTGTCACTTATCACTCTGCGATTAGATTTGTTGGTTCACTTCTCACGCTGGATATCATGAGTTTATGGTTTATTAAATGGAGACTTGCTATAGATAGCGAAAAAGCAAAGAGAGCGACAGAGAAACCACACATTTCAGTTGGGGTCAACGCCGTTTCAAACTTCACAACATCAACACTCTAAATTGGTCCCTTTGTATTTCCTGTTGCAATGTTTGTTCATGCAGTACTGTCAGGAAGTAAAGAGGGACCAAAGCTGTTGCCCAGTGAAACAGTCCAGTAATATCTTGGTGTTGTCTTTAATGAGAATATGTGTTTCTCAGAGGGACAGCATTAGGATCGGTGATAAATAGAGTGGTGCAGGAATGAGTCCCAAAACATGAAATATGTTATAATTTTTAGCACCCCTGGTTCCTTGGTGTTGAAATCAATGTTTTTTTTGTTACATATAGATGTCTAAAAATAAGGTCTGTGATTAACACAAGCTTTAGAGACTTTCACGTTTTGTTCTAAAACATAAAATACATCAGTAAATACCCTGTGGTGTTGTGTAGAAATATAATCAGGCGGCTGCGACTGTCTTCTGTCAACTTTATTAACACAGCAGCTCGTTATACGAAACACTGGACTACTCAGCTCAGCTGCACCTGGAGCACACACAACAACAAGGGCCCGGCCCCGCACCCATCACTTCCTGTGTCGACGTCACTGACGTATCCTTACGCCTTCGACTGCATGACATAGTACCATTGCATTACTGACCCCACTCCTGAATGTCTTAAAAAAGACGGTTGCTGACAAGTGGCTAAATGGAGTTACAGAGCTTCATTATGATGAACACGGCTTTGCAGCCTAGTTGAGGTGGCGACGTTGAAGTCATGCGTCCATGGTGTAGTTCCTTTACAGCCTGATGTTAGCTTTTTACTTCTGATGATTGCATTTAGGCTTCATAACAATCATAACAATGGTGTCAATTTGTGAAGATTGTCTCACTGAATAAAACATGTAAGTCTCATAAACTTTAATTTGCCACAGAGCTAAATTTCTGCAATATTCCAAAATCCAATGGAGAAATCCCATCAGTGTTTTGATGAGGAAACCAGGGCAACGCTAACTTCCGTGTTGGCCTACAAATAAACTTAAATAATATGACCTTCATTTATCAAAATTCTTAAAACTTTACGATTTATGAGCAACATATAAGCAAAGTTTCTCTTATTTTTGTATCCACGGTTTGTTCTTATTTTGTTGGTAGCCATTGATTTTTGGGATTCACCAATGTTTTATTATCTTTGCTTTTCTCTTAAGTAAGAGAACATTTTTACTTGTGGTCGAGAGCGCTCTCACCAAGATGAGAGAGAGGCATTTTTCACAGTCCACATATTGTTTGTCCATTATTAGGAAGATAGAAATTTGAGGAACATGAACAAATACATGAATATTATAGAATCAAATTTAGATGATTACGTTTTAGAGTAATTCTAATGATTGGGTTATTACATTTGTGAGCTAAAGAAATGCTGCTATACTTGTCCCATGGATTGTGATAGAGATTTTTCACAGCACACATTAGGGCCCATCATTATAGGAAAAGCACAGGCGTTACTAATGACACTAGTGATGGCTCTGTTCAGTTCAGAGGTCCTAGTAAGAATGACAGTGAGCCGACATGCACGATACTAGGATGCTGAAATCAGCCATCATTAATGACATTATTTACACCTGTGCTTCTCCTACTGTGACGAGTCAAAATGTCTTCCATTAAAAGGTCTATCACTGTAATTTCAGCTACTCTCTCTGATAACCAGTGCTGGAATCTAACTACGCACATTAACTCAAATCCTGTGCTGAAATACAAATTCATTCAGCAACTTCTCTGCACTTCAACCAAGCTGGATTGAATACGCTGTAAACGAGAGCAGTGCCTTGAACACAGAGCCCAGCGTTTGTACGGAAGAGCAGGATGTTCTGACTTTAACACTCAGCCTTCCACTCATATACAAACTTAGCTCCCCTTCTACTTTCCTTTCCATGCACATGCCGCTGAGTGCCCTGCACTCTTATTACCTAGCATCCTCAGCCGTCCGATCTTATCCATGAGCAGCGCGGAGACGATGTTGCCTGGCAACACAGCCAAGGTACCCAGGAAGCTGACGAAGTAGACCATGTAGGCATTGTTCTCATCGCTGACGTCACTGAGCAGGCAGCCTTCTTTGTTGTGCAAGAAAGTGCTGTTGATTAGCTTGCAGTTGACCAACCTGTACTTGAATAGATCTGGGGAGAAAGGAGAAAGCAAGGGGGGTGTGGAGGATGGAGAGAGAGCAGACAGAGAGGGAGCAGAGTTAACAGGGCTGATTAGTAAACTCATTTTTCAATTTGTGATCCCTTTCGGTGAAGTTTTTAAATGTAAAACACCTGCAGGAGAGGACAAGTGGGGAGACTCTTGTCAACAAACTAGGGCTGTTAACGGTTCACAAAATTCACGGTTCAGTTCAATACCATACAGTGGTGTCACGTTATGGTATGTTTTTGATACAGCAAAAGGTAGAAATGCCGGTGAAATTACCTTGATTCTTAAATTGTATGTTATCTTAATTCATTTATTTATTAAAACTAATATCATGAAGTTAGACCTTTCTGTTTAGTTTGAACGAATTGTGAATTTGGACAGCCCAAAGCACTCCTAGACTTCCCGGGAAAGCGCCCGCAAAGTCCACGAGTCTGAAAGTGCGGTCAAGTCTGGACATTTGGATTTGGCGAAGAAATATCGTAACAGGGCTCAACTTCTTCTTTTTTAAAGATATTTTTGGGGGCATTTTTTTAGCCTTTAATGGATAGGACAGACAAGTGTGAGGGGGGGAGAGAGAGGGAGTGACATGCAGCAAAGGGCCACAGGCCGGAGTCGAACCCGGGCTGCTGCGGCAACAGCCTTGTACATGGGGCGCCTGCTCCACCACTAAGCCACTGACCACCCAGGGCTCAACTTTAAGCCTGTTTCTAAAGCCTGCGTTTTCCACTACAGAGTAGGGTCTCATATCCATGTGGCACTGAGAACATTATATTAAACACAATTTAAGCTGTAAATTTTATTTTCCAGATATAAAAAGATTAGTTAAATAAATAATTTGGGTTGTATAACAGTTCAATACAAGTATTTGTATTGTTACACCCCAACAACAAACTATTATTATCAACACCTTTTTGCAGAATTTCCCTTCTTTTAAACACAATAAATGTCAGGAATGCTGTGCTGTTGTTACAGGACAATGCTTTCCTTATGATTGTTCAATCAAAATGTAAGCAACATTAAAAAAACGTGACAAAAAGAAAGCTATATTTTGAATCATTTCTTGTGATACAGCTGCAGCAGCACATGAGCCTGCACCTATGCAGAGGCTGCACACTGTACTACAGAATACACTGTAGTGTGGGGTTACATCAGCACCATGGACAGAGCCCTCCAAGAGCTTGAACTGAGGCCCAATCCCAAACCGGCCCCTATCCCCTCGCCCTATTCACTCCCCCTCCGTTTGCGCGGTCATGCGGAGCTCCGCCATATTAAGGGCCGTCCCAAACCAATTACCGCTGAGTGCAAGTGGACTGCTCAGCCCTTAGATAGCTAGTGTGCATCAGTGCAGGCTTCTGATGAGCCCAGCAGGAAGCGCAACATCACAATGGAGGAAACAACGTACAAATGTAAAAGTTCCGTCTTTCTACTTTGTAAAATATTTTAGATCAAACACACACATTTGTTTTCTTCACACTGACTTTACAGGCTCAAACAAACTCACAGAATGTTTGGTGTCAAAAGATGAAAAACTACATGTCCATATGCTGAAATGAACTATTTAAAACTGTCTAAAAAATTCCTCATCCCATTCTCATGATTTTTAAAAAATATATAATTATGTGTTCACAGGGACAGAAGAAAAAACAAAGCAGTTAATCGATCTAAGGATTAAAAATGAGTCTCTTTACTAAAAAAAGGAATGCTGCAAAGCAGGGATGGAGGTGAGGTTGCCCAGATTAATTAATAAAGTTCATCTGTGAATGTGTAAACTGTGTCTATAAAATATGAACAAGTTAATTACTTTGATTACACTGCACTGTATCTCTTATCTGACTTATTAAAGTTTTTTTTTTAATTTAACTCATTTTAATTAATATTTAAATGTTTTTTTTAATAGCCCGTTGCTCTATTTTGCTTTCACAAAGCATCTGTCTGTATCCATGGTTACATCTGCTTCCTTCTTCCGGTAGAGTGGCGAGGGCGTCCCATGGTTTGGCTTCTCTTTCATACACTTCCCCTTAATCAGGAGTGCCCTCCGCAGCTGCGAGTGTAACTTGATTTGGAGTGACACTCGGTAGTGAAGTGGTAGTGGGTAGGGAGTGGTTTGGGATTGGGCCTGAGTTTCCCATTTCACACACTTAAAGTGCACGGCTTTATATTCAAAGTACATATTCTTATAACACACTAACATATTCGGCAAGTAACCTATATGATCTTCAAAGGCTTACATTTGAAAGGACGCACAAAGCGCATTCCCAGGGAACACTGACAAGCTGTAAGAAGCCTAGATCTGTTTGCATCACCCAGGTTGTCTCACCTCGTCACCCACTGAGATAGAAACCATCATGAGAAGTAAAGCAAATCCCAGTATGATCTGCTGAGAGTCATTTCATCGCAGCTAAGTATGAAAACCATCTTCCCAGTCACTGACATGTGCCACATCGTGATGATAAAGGTTCACTATGGCAACTATCAGACAGCTTTAAGTTCTAAAAGAGATTAAGATTAAGCTTTAATAAGCAAACAAGTTTCTAATTCCTATTCTAATGAGTAACTCCTGGCCGCCACTGATAGCAGCTGTGAGTGACAGCTTGACCTGATAAGTCTATTGTACCTAAGTGTTTGTACATTTTAGAAAAGGCACACTGCCCCCTGTAGATTCAGCAGCTGTGTCCACACAAACAAAGACACAGTTCTCATTGAGTTGCAACATGTGACATGTTCTGTTGTCATTTCGGTGGAGAAAAGTCAATCGCACAGATTGAGGAGAGAGACAGCTCCGCAATTTTAAAGCTGAAATACTGGAGGATTCAGTCTGGGTTGCTAGGCGACATCGCAGCTCTGCAATGCTGCATTTGGTGTAGTGCCAGTCAGCCGGTTGAGAGGGAGAAGGAAAGTAATTGAGCCATTTTGACAAACAGTTGGAGCTTATTCTGCTGCTCTTTTCAGCGTCAGGGGAAGGAGAAATACTGCGTCCACTAAAAGTGAATTTTATAACGTGCCAAAAGAGACTCAGGGCTTTTGTTTTCATATCAGGTTAACTATGTGCTCACCAGACAGGTGCAACACATGAACACTGTCTTAATGCCATCTGCCATCCTTCACCATACAAGAGCACAATAAACTGACACAATCTCTCACTAAGACGGCATTTGACAGCAAACATGAAAGAGTGAAACTGTGCCAACAGCTCTACTTATCAGCACTATAAATAGCAGAGAGAGAATAAGGACAGAGGGAGAGGAGAGACAAGATCACAGTTACAGTTTATACTTGTTTTTACCCATTGGTCTAGTGCAGGTACAATGCACAGCTTACAGTACACCACATATAACAGTAATAATAATAACACATTTTATTTATAGGCACCTTTCAAGACACTCAAGGTCACCCTACAGGCAAAGATAGGGAAAATAACAGCAGATAACAACAAACAAATATTCAGCAAAACAAATTTACAGTGAATAAAGTTTTAAGGCGTGATTTGAAAGTGGAGACAGAGCTGATGATACGAACGCTGGAGGGACAGTGAGGTGGACTGAAGAAGAAGACCTGAGAGAAGGGGGTGTGGATGTGCAAGAGTTCGGAGAGGTACAGAGGAGCTCAGCTGTGGAGCAAGATCTTAAAGTCAACGCGGTATTTAACCGGGAAGTAGGCAGACTGAGTGACATTACTGATGTGAGCTCAGAATGACTGTAGAGGATGACGCCCAGGCTCTTAACCAGGAAACTAAGGAGTTATTAATATCAAGTGTGAAACTGTCAGTTGTTGCTGAGGTGGATTTGGTGCCAATGAGAAGTAACTCCATTTATCACTGTTTAATTTTAGGAAATTGCAGGACACAATCAATGGGTGACACAGCTTCCGTGATGTCACCCATTGATTTGTGGACTCCTGTTTTAAAAAGTCTTTGGCCTTCACCATCTTGGTTTTTTTTGGTGCCAGAAGTGACCATATTTGGGCGAGAGGCCGGAGCTGAGGAGGAGTGAGGGGAGGATGTGACTGAGGACACTATCGGCAGACAACCTGTCACTCAAAGCACTTTTTATGCATAACTTCAGGCTTTAATAAAATATAAACGGGTGAGTTATATATAAATAAACCCTTGTACAGTTGTCATGAAGGGGAAATTAGCTATAGAGACCAAAACCGTTTTTGTACCAGGCTGTAAACATGTTTATTTCTGCTGTTAGTTGGGCATTTTAAGATGGTGGTCAATGGGGATTGACTGGCTTGAGGCAGCCTCAAGCAGCCATTCTATGAACTGCAGGTTTTAGCACTTCCATGTTTCATTTTTTAGCCCTGGATGTTGCTGCCTGGTGCAGATGACAATGCTTGGCTTCTCCCTGTGCCACCAGTGCCTAGACCAGCACCAGCGGATGAGTGGGGAGCTCCAGGGGAAGCCAAACGCCATTCATCTGCACGTGCTGCAATGACACAGAGCTAGTTGAAAATAGATTCCCTGTTTCCCTCCACTATTCCAGTTAAGCTGGACAGGGGTTTATTCACTGTTATCTTACTATATAATGAAGAAAACTCTGTGTGTGTGTCTGTGTCTGTGGATGTGTCTCTTCGACGTTTTTCTCCTCACTGACTTGGTCAATCCATGTGAAATTTGGCACAGTGGTAGAGGGTCATGGGAGGATGTGAATGAAACAATATTACATCAATTGGCCAAAGGGGGGGCGCTATAGCAACCAATTGAAATTGCAAACTTTGAATGGGCATATCTCATGCCCCGTATGTCGTAGAGACATGAAACTTTGCACAGAGATGCCTCTCCTCATGAGGAACAGATTTGCCTCAAGAACCCATAACTTCCGATTATATAGATTTTCCGCCATTTTGATTTTTTGGAAAAACACCTAAAATCGATCTCTTCCTAGGAAGTTTGAGCGATCTGCATGAAACTGGGTGAACATAATCTAGGGACCAATATCTAAAGTTCCCTCTTGGCAAAAGTTGGAAAACTTACTAAAACTGAGCTTCTATAAGGCAATGAATATTGCGGAGGGCGTGGCTCATCACATAAAGGTGTATAACATCTCAAGGGTTTCACCCATCACCACGCAACTTTGTAGGCATATGACCACACATAATCTGAGGGGACCCCTCCATTATTGACCCCATCAAACAAAATGAGGGCGCTAGAGAAATTCACAAAAACTCTGTCTGAATACATTGCTCTTCTTAATCTAATTTCCTATGACCTGTATCCCAAACACACACCATGTGAAACTGTACGTGAGCAACTGTGCACTCAATGGGTATGGACTAGTAATCATTAAAAAGCGATTGCAGCATGTGTATACAGTTGTCAGGCTAATGTATGTCTCTAGCAGCTAACTAGCGAGCTAGCTTACCCAACACTTTCCAGGGTTTGATTTGGGTTTTGGAACAGGGAACAAATGTAGATAGATGTGATTGGCGAGTCAGCATCAGAGGGACGGGATGGGTCCAAGTGGGTCTTCGTGAAGGGCCACTTAAGTTTGAACTGAAAGTTGATGAGTTCATGCCTTCATTGTTTAATTAAAAAAATAGTTGCAACTTGACCTTGCTTGGGCTGTGTTGAAACAGCGTTGATTATAATTTGTTTGTTACCTGATGGTGTTCACTGACTTAAGTTCCCACCTTAGAATAACCATTATACAGTGTCAGTGTGTGTGTAACCTACCTGTGTTGTAGAAGAGGGTGGCGATAAAGGTGCAGTTCTTGAAGAAGGTGTTGCTGGAGGTGATGTCCTCAAAGTAACACTCCTCAAACAGCGAGTCCTCAAATACCATAGATCTCATTTTCAGGTTCATGAACCTGCGAGCAATCACACACAGGGACAGTGGAATTAAGAAATGGAGGCAAAGAGGCAACGAAGAGATGGAGCGTGGGATTGGGAAGTGGAGGGAGAAAAAGATGCAAAGACAGTGAGAGAATTTTAACAACTCAGATCACAAGCAGAGTTGAGGTTTAAAAGGCAAGGTCAGAGGAAACATCAAAGACAGGCTTGTTAAACAAGAACAACTCCGCAGGGCTCTCATCCAATCAAAGCCAAGCTCAGAATAAAACATTTTGAAGCCTTATTCACATTTTCATCTGCTTTGTTGTCATCCATCACAAAGTATTAACACTTTGTGAATAAAGTTGTCCATTGTAGACTGTGTGAAATATAAAAAATACCCTCAGAATAAAAGGCACCTGACTGAGCGTGACCCAATTCAGAATCATTTTGCCTTCATTCAACAGGCCAGCCTTGACAAAAGGGATGCAGCTGACTCACTTGTCGTTGAAGTACTCTCCCTGGCGGTGGACCTGGTTTTCCAGAGTGAAGTTAAAGGTGACATGTTCCACTTTCTCCTTGACGAAAACCTTGGTGCGCGAGGCGTACTCCTGCTTCTGCAGGTACTTGATCATGTCGGGGAACCACACTGTCAGACCGTAGTAGCTGGATGGGAGAGATGAGGAGGAGGAGGAGGAGGAGGAGAAAGTGAGAGTGCTGTTGTCACAAGAAAGATAAACAGTAACAGGCCTACACAGCAGAGCCTTAATCATTACTGCGTGCATGAATATTCAAGAAAGGCATATTTGTAACATCTTTTGCCCGTTAGTACCAAAAACTGGCAGCTCCAGTGAATGTTTATGTAATGTTTTTGCTTCAGCAAAGTAAATCTGAATCTGAGTATAAGTCTGAAATTGTTTTCTAGAGTATGTCTACTGCACGCTAATATGACAGCATTAGGCATTCTCCGATTAAGACGTGGGATATGCCGGTGTTAGTCGGATTGTAGTAGCGTTCTTTGGACATGTAAACAGCGTATTTGGAATATGCATCTCAACCGTTTTGTTTTTACTGCTGTTTGCGACACACGGTGCTGTCCACAAACCCACTCACCAACAATTTGCAAGGCAGTGAGGTAGAGATGCATGCCCAAAAGAAAAGCCCACATTTCTGGTCAGAAGGAGCAACACACCTACTTTTAAACACCATGAAAGACTGCAACTTTTTCAAGCAGGCTGAAGGAATGACAGAGTGAGGCTGTGTTTGCTGCCACCTGTGGAAAACTTTGAAAAAATCCTGGCACAGGTGACAGCCTTTCTATTTTATCATAATTGATTTGATAAACATGTCAGGGCGCGTTAATCGGAGTATGCACAGCTCCATGTAAAAGGATTATCATATCATCATATTAATGTTCATCAGCCATGTAAACAGTTTAGTAGGAATATTGTCATATATTTTGTGCATGTAAATGTAGTCTATAGCCCCTTTTACACTGCCAGATTTTTGGCGAATGTTGGGCCGTTTTGCCGGCAAGCTGTGAGCATTTAGACACACAGAGCTGGATTGGCGAGTTGATCCGAGGTGCCCAATTTTCCGCCTCGTAGGGTAGACATATCGGCAGAACCCTTTTAGTTTAAACAGACTGAGGCGGCCTTCTGCAACTGGAGGGGCTGTTGATGACGCTGCACGTGTGACCCACTGGGGGTGGATAAACAGGAAACAGCTGATAGCAGGAATTAGCGAGCAGCTAGTAGCAAGAGGGAAACGCAAACCTGACAGACACTGTAAAGATGAGCAACTGGGGAGACAAAGAATTGCGCGCCCTCCTTGTCCTTGCAAATGAAGAGGCCATTAACCGTCAGATGACGGGGACGGTGAAGGACAGGCCGACTTATGAGAGAATCGCGGAAGGACTGACCAGCCGCGGCTTCCCTCCCACATCACTGTTTACGTCATATGATGAGCTACACGCTTTGTTACATGCTCACGCCCCCCATTGCCCCGAAAAAGGCGCATTCTGTATAAACAAAAGTAGGTAGGCGGCATTTTGCTGCACTCCCCGATTTTGGTTTTATACTGCCAATGCTGAAAAAAGACTGATTGGGCTTTGCTGTAAATTTGCACAGTTCCTATTTAAAAAGGGCTACCATCACATGTACTGTAATTAAAGGAATATTTTGACATTCTAGCAGGGGATGTGAACTTTACTACCCACTTTTGATTTTTAAAATATGTCCGAGGACCACCTCTCAAAATAAATAACAAAAAAACAAAACATAAAATGACAAAAAAGGAGAAAAGAAACACGTATGTAAACATGTGATATGCCACTGTCAGCTGTAAATGTTAAGATGACTTTCTGTTGTGCCTGAAGCCCGTCTTTTTTCCTTAGAAATGATTCCTTTGGCTTTCCAGCACATCCCGGGTGCTTTGTCTTTACGCGTCTCTGGAGCTTCGATAGTTTTAGCGCCTCATTTGACAGGATTTCATCACATTCAACACTGCGCTCTCGGCTCGACATCACTGCCTGCCAGTGTAAATGAATCCATATTTAATTCATTTGAGGTCATATTTCCTCAACACAGCCTTTAGAGCTTTTACTGGTGCAGGGTTGTCTTTAAAAACTGAACATCAGGCAACATTAGATAGCTAACAGTAACAAGACATGTTTGTCTCTACCTAATGACATGTTGTGATTGGCGTGGAGATATTCAAACGTAATTGGTCAGTGAAATTATGCTTTTAATTTGGCATTTTTTATTTATGTGAAGTCTAGATCACATTTAGTTTCAAAAATAACCCAAAAAAAGCAATTTTAAACTATCACCCTAGATCACACACTGAGGTGGCTCACTGGTTGAAATCGCTAATTTTGGGACAAGTTTATTCACTCTACAGCAAAAAGTTTGGTAAGAAGATCGATACCACTCTGAGACTGTCAGTGAAGTGAGACCCAGTGTACTGTTCTTTAACCTGATCTTACCTGAAGGACATGGAGAACCACACGGCCATCATCATGTAGGTAGTGCGGCGATACTCGGGGGAGAAAACAGTCTGGAAGTTACTCCACACCTGCAGCAACACACACATGGACACAGAGATACAGTGGAGACACAGAGGGACACAATAAATATATGGTACAGTCAGTTAACATACACCAGGCGTCTCTGAAAACTTTTCTCTCCACACAGTGTCCCAGAATCCCCTTTTCCAGGCCCAGAGCAAACAAAGTGAGACAGCCTCAGCAGCACAAGCTGATACACAAACACATCCTGTCACTAAACACACACTGTCCACACAGGCAAAGAGAATTATCATATAAATAAAGCCTGAGCTGAGCAGTCGGAAGGAAATTTCATCTCTTCAGTTCTGACTGACGTTTATAGATTATATTTTATTCAACACTGATTAAAATTAAACTCTGGTTCCCTTCATAATATTTGTTTGTGATGCTTTTAATGCTTTGAATTTCCCTGACAGTATCTGGCTGGTGGTTTAACCCCCGGTGCACACTGATGACATACCCTGGTTTAAAGGAACAGTTCAACATTTTTGGAAAGATCCTCATTTGCTCTCTTACCAAGCGTTAGATAACGGGCTGTGACCACGTAGCGTTTTTCTTTAGCGGAAAAGAGGCGGCAGGGCACTGAAGAGCACTTCATCGCAGTGCTTCATTTTAAATGACGCACTACGTGTAGGTTTGTTTCAGTGACAACAATCTTGACATTAACATTCGCTCGGTAGCTATGGTACGGAGATTAAAGCACAACACTCATCAGCAACATTCTGTTTTGGTAAATGGACCTGCACTTGTATATCACCTTTCTAGTCTTCCGACCACTCAAAGCGCTTTTTACACTACGAGTCACATTCACCCATTCACACACACACACTTATACACTGGTGGCCGAGGCTACCATACAAGGTGCCACCTGCTGCTCAGATTTTAACACAATCATTTTCCTTACAATATTTGGTTGGTAGTTTAACCCCCAGATGACACAATTATTGTTTCAGTATCTTGCTGAAGGGTACTTCGACATGCAGATAAAGGAGCCGGGGATTGACCCACTGATCTTCCAATTAGTAGACGACCCACTCTACCTCTGAGCCACAGCCTTCTGACAAATTATACAGCTCAGGATAGACAGGAGCCAAAGCAGCAGTGACGACACCAGCGCCTGAGTGTAACACTATTTCTCTAGGCAGGCATACGTGGCCGCATTCACTCTCTCCTCATAGGGAACAACTGAAAAAAGATGCGATCACTCAGACAAAAAAAAAACCTAATGCTACATGGACACAGGCCCTAGGAAGAGCAACACCATATTATTTGGCACTACTGTCACTTATATTCCCATTTACAGAAGGAATACTTCACCCACAAAAACATCAGTTTTGCATCAATTATGAAAGAATTAAGAAAATGTTTTGTTTTTTTTCTCACATGCTTCCAGTGAATGAAGAATCCATAAATGCAGAGAGTTCTTGATGACTTGGAGTAAAAAGAGGCAGCGTTTAACAACAGCAAAACTATTCAAAACTTAGTCTTACACAACTTATGCAGTATAATCCAGTTCTCATGCATTTTTGTTAAAACCTCACAATTAAAAAAAATGGCATTTAATCTCTGCTGGTGCAGTCCATTCAGTAGAGTTTAAACGAAAGTGCTCGCCCTGGTGCACTACTTGTCTGTAGGTGAGACTGTTTCTACTGCACGAGTTGTGTGAGCTCGTAAAAGGAGGTTTTGATATAGTTTCAGCTATAGTTGTACGCATCTGATACTGCCTAAAATGCGGTATCGGGTATCGGCAAGTACAGCCTATGACCAATCTGAAAACACGTAATGACATGAAGCATTAGGTGTTTTCATACGCATGCTACAGGCAAACGAAACGGAAACGGAGCGGAGTTTAAAAAGCATTCTACTGTAGCCTTTAAAATGTCTTTTTTACCAACTTGTGTGAATGCCTTTTAACCTGTGTCTTGATCTGTGTCAACACTGGATAATAAAAAGTTTTATGGCATTCATTCTATTATTATGTATTTATTTCATAATATTTTACATAGAGTTTTAGGAGTTGAGACATACAACAATTCATATCCCATCCATTTTTATTTTACACGCTGGTATCGGATCAGTACTCAGTATCGGCAGATACCTAAGGTTCAGGGATCAGAATCGGTATCGGGAAGGAAAAAGTGGTATCGGTACATCTCTAGTTTCAGCTGTTGTTAAACAACTGCCCCTGTTCTTAAAATTCATCAAGACATTTTTGAATTTTTTGCCCACCATGGAGGCATGCAAGACAAACGATGTTTTCTTCACAATTAAAACGGGGTGCGTAATTTATACACAAATGATAATTTTGCGCTGAAAGTATTCCTCTAAGCTGAAGGGTAGAGTTTTAAATCTGTATGGGTCAGATTATCAGTCCAGATCTGCTCCAGATGTGTTGCTTTGTTCCACTATACAGGTAATATTAAATATCAAACAGTAAAATCAGGGGAATAGTGTCACCTGATGGAAAAGTGTCGTGAGCTTTATCCTCCATTTCTGATGCCAGGCGGCTCCATCGCCCAGGTCCACCAGCTCATCCATCTGCTTCACTGTTTTAATGGTGGTCACCTGGGAATCATTCAATATTTAGATTTTAATTACATCTTTACTGATTGTTAAATGTGTTCCTCTTCAACGTACTTTACACACATATTTTTCGGGAAGGGCTTCAATCAAAATCTTTATTGAAATCTAAATTACACACTAGTCATTAAAAAATATACATGTGTGAGTGAATAACAAGCTTTCACATGGATACTCAGCATGTGATATCAGGCCCACAAATCCTAAATTCATTGATTGTTCTGTCTTTTCTCACAGATTAATTTGTAAACCTTTGCTCTAATATATTACAAATGATCAGTACAATTAATGTTCTTCCCAAATTATCATTATTCCATGTTATTCAAAATCAATGTATGCACCTGATCTGCCTTACCATTAACACTATGATATATATATCTGATAAGAAGAAGTTATAAGGTATTTTTGTCACCATGTTTCATTGAAGTATTAATATGAACTGTGTGGCTCCAAGCATTTAAAGAAAATCTGTTTAACTTAATTAATATGCAAATTTATGCAGCAAAGAGCTCAAAAACCTGCTGCACTGTATTAGCCTGCAGACAGGAACACACGCACTGTGTGAAGACATTTTCTCCTGCGTACAGACACAAGTGTAAAGCATAAGATTCCTGTGTGTGACTTACAGAGAAGACCCTCTCTGGGTAACCCTTGGCCCTCATGTTGGTGTCATGGACCTGCTTCAGAATCATCCACGCCTCGTCGTGTTTCCCATTCTGCAGGTGAGAAACACATTTACATGTTAGTCACAAACCACAGTAGAGAGGGAGGGCGAAGGGTTTCCTGTGAGTGGTGCAAACCTCACGTCACACTCAATATCTTAACACCTCCTCACAGTTTGCTATAGTTCGTGAAGCCTCTGTCTTTTCTGGTATGAGATTTGGTACAAGAGTGATGCTTTGATTCAATAATCAATCCCTTGTAAGATGTGTGATGTGACAACGTCACAAAACATTTGGAGAAACAATTCCTCAAATTTTACATCTGTTGAAAATCTTTGAACATTCACTTCAATTAATTGTTCAACATTCAGCAGCCAATTAGGGAAAAATGTTCCCATGCACTGCCATTTTTTCAAGGTCAAAATGAAGATGGAAAAACGCTGACACAGCTTCGCCCTGTTTAAATAAAAACATTAATTTTATTCAGCCATTTCTGCTTCACATGCATGATGTTTCACTGGTGCAGATGTAGTGTAATTGCTTAAAGGAACAGTTTGACTTGGCAAAGCGTATTCGTTTTCTTATCAGCAGTTAAATGAGAAGATACAGCTGCACGTTGTTTTCAGTTTAAGCTTCAGTGAAAGGTTTTAAGTTGTCTCCATGGTAACCAGAGACACCCTTCTTTTCTTACAGTCAGAGTGTATTGCTGTCATGTTAAGTAATTAGAGCTGTACTGATACCAGTATCGGAAATGATTCCAATACTGCCTAAAATGCGGTATCGGGTATCGGCGAGTACAGCCTATGACCAATCCGAAAACACGTCATTACGCATACGCACGCTACAGGCAAACTAAACGGAAACGGAGCTGAGTTTAAAAAGCATTCTACTGTAGCCTTTAAAATGTCTTTTTTACCAAATTGTGTGGCTGCACTTTAACCTGTGTCTTGAGCTGTGTCAACACTGGATAATAATAATAATAAAAAGTTATATGGCATTCATTCTACTATTATGTATTTATTTCTTAATATTTTACATAGAGATTCAGGAGTTGAGACATACAACAATTCATATCCCATCCATTTTTATTTTACACGCTGGTATCGGATCAGTACTCAGTATCAGCAGATACCTAAGGTTCAGGAATCGGAATCGGTATCGAGAAGGAAAAATCGGTACATCTCTATAAGTAATGCTGGGTACACACTACACGATATCAGCCTGATTATAGCCCGATGCAGCGTCGTACGGTGTCAGCTCGGATCGTGAGTAGTGTGTGTGATAATCCATCGTTTCATCTCGTGTAGTGTATCATAGTAGAGGACAATCGACGTCACGCCTGGGAAACCTCACAACATTTCAACAGAAGATTTGACTCAGAATACATTAGACACAGGCCATTATTTATTATTTCCTCTGTATTTTCATATTTATATTTTAATCTGCTCGTGTTTTTCTAGATAAAGTTAATGCATCGTGCCGTCATTTCAAACTCAACACTTCCTGTATCTGTTTAAAATCAAAAGCCCATTATAATTTGGGTTGAGAGAATCCCTTCATTTTCTAAACAGGCTTTTATTGTGAAAAATTTGCAGGAACTTGTGGAGGATTCAGTGACTCGCACTGTTTACATGTGGTGCTTCAAATGTAGCTCCTGGCATCTAGTGGAGCTTTTTACGTCACTACAATAATATTTCGTCTGGGACATGAACAGACACAGTGACTGAAATTATAGAAATAATAATAAAAATAGGACAAGAATAACCCGATGACATCACACATTTGGTGCGGACCATCATGTAGTCTGTCATGTCTGCCGTAGGGCTGGACAATTAATCTAATTTTAATCATGATTTCGATTTTGGCTTCTCACGATCATAAAAACATTATAATCGAAGAAAAACAATTAATGTGCCGCACGGCGCGGCGTGTATGTAAGTTCCTGTGCTGGAAAAGCACCGTGAATGCACCTGTGTTATGTGCAGCAGCAGCAAGCGTGTGACGTGTGTGGATCAGTAATATGTGTTATTGTTGTTACTGAGAACATGAAAGGCAGCCTTTGGTTGAGAAGAAAGGTAGGACAACTTCAGTCATCTGGAAACATTTTGGCTTCAAGTTGTCCAAAGTCCAAAAAAGTTAATAACTTACAAATTATGGCGAAAAGGTAGTTTCTTGCAACCCTAGAATTAAGATAAAAATATTCACAAAAGAAAAAACACTTCTGGTTGCTGATAAATAGTGTTTAACTTTTGATTTAACACTAAAAATTAAAACCCTCGGCGCACACTGCAGCGCAAGCAGACAGATGCACGACTCAGAGCAGCATGTGTCACTGACACCAGACTCAGAGCGCAGTGGACCGGTGGAACATCAATAAAATCTATTTTATCATTATTTTGAGTCACATTGTTGAAAGAATTTAGTCGTCTGTGTTGGGCTTTCTAATTCCTTGTCGGAGATGGTGTTGCGTTCAAGGTCCCCCCAAAAAAACGGGGGGAAAAAAAGGCTGAATATTCGAATTTTTTTCCACAATCGAATGATTGAAATCAATGAATAATCGTGTTTATTAATCGTGATTTCAACATCAATCAAAATAATCATGATTATTATTTTTGCCATAATCGTCCAGCCCTAACGGCCACTGTCCTCTCAGACACTGAATGCAGGTCAAAGTCGATGTTGATTGAAAACTACTACTGCCGGACAAAATATGACATCATCCACGAATAAACAAAATCCTCCAGGTGCACGACATAAAAGAAAAGTGTCGAGCAACATTTTCTTTTGATGAAAATACGTCATTTCTGTTGAGCGACACTCAAAAGTGTCGAGCACCCAACCATAAATCAGGCTTAATAGCGTACCAAGGAATAATGTGCTGTGGTTACAACAGCTGACAGTGGTTTAGTAACACATAAACAGAGCTACTGAAATATGGGGAAGGTAATGGACTGCAGAAATCCCCAGCCCACTGGACATCAATATACTGTATACTAGCTGTGACAGATTCCTTCATGTATTGAACATTTAAAAATGAATAATTTAAAACATATTCATCTCCAACTTCCTGTTTACTTTTTGTGTGTCAGTGTTCAAAATATACTGAATAGGAATAAAAAATTCAGCAGCACTTGTATTTTGTATGTTTCGCCCTCTTCATGATGTATATATGCACATTTTTATTTATCTATTCAAAATATTCTGGAAAAGTGTGAGAGTAGCGTTTTGTCTGCAGCACAGTGCCCGCATGCTTTCTGTTTTTAAAACTGTTTATGCATCCAAGATGTCAAAACGTATTCAGGTGATATTTCCATAAGGTCTGAGTGCGGTGAGAGCTGACAGGCTGACCTCCAGGTAGAAGCGGGGGCTCTCGGGCATTGTGGTGAGGGCGGAGATGGCCGCCACGGATGGGAAGGCACACACCAGCACAAAGACACGCCAGCTGTGGAACTGGTAGGCCGAGCCCATCTGGAAACTCCAGCCTAAGTGGGGAGCGGGAGAGAGAGAAGGGGGGTCAGAGGCAGCTGCAACACTTGAATCGTGTGCTCAAGGAGCCTCCTGCGCTGATACTGTAATGCTCTGGTTGTATGCATTTCTGTAAACTGCAGCCATTTAAAACCACCACCACCACCAAACAGAAACAACGGTCGCATCTCATCTCCACATTTAATTATGTAACATTAAATGGTTAAAATGACATGCTGTTTATCTCACTGACTAACACACATATTGCCTCAGACAATGATTTTGTGACTGAGTGATCTGTTTGTTTTCCTCACCATAATGTGGGATGATGGCCCAGGCCATGGCGGAGGCGTAGATACCGCCGATCATCCAGAACATGCAGAGCCAGCTCAGATGCTCTCCTCGCTTCTCCTGGGCCAGGAACTCAGAGTAATAGGAAAACACAATGGGGATGGAGCCGCCAATGCTGCGGAGTAAAGAGGAAGGCAGAAATTAAAAGGAAAGACAATTAAGAGACCGGCAAGAGAAGGGATCCACATGGAGGAGAAGCAAATGGTGGGTGAGATAAGAGAGGAGGAAGAACAGAGGGAAGGCAAAGGCAACAGAGATGACAATGGTAATTTAAAAAGGTGGCAAATAGGGAGAGAAAAATAAATGAGGTAATGTTGTGAAGAAAGAAAGGAGTTGAAAGAAAACAATATAACAAAGGGAGGGAGGAGTGAAAAGCAGAGAGAGGGTTTTAAGAAAAAGCAGCAGGAGAGTGTGAGATATGAGAGACAATCGAGCAGCCTTGTAGTTGATTAAGAATAAAGATTAAAGTCTTTAAAAAAACACCAATAAAGGCCCGTCTGACTGCAATCAGTGGCACCACCTTTAAACCCTCTGTGCTTGTTCCATCACAACAATTTACAATCTGACTGATGGCAGCTGATGCCAGGAACACATTCAGAGCTCTGCAGTCAAACAGGGGCAGAGATTGTTAATACATTGACTCAATTTGGAGAAAGTTCACTACGCTGCAAATGGAAGCAGTATCCACAATGAACAGGCCGCTGTGCACGTTTGCCCAGAATAACAGAGACTTTCACAGTCTGCTATTCTTTGTAATTGTGGAAGGGTGGGGAGATCAAAGCTTTCGTATTCTGAGCTGCTCTATTTCTACTAAACGTTACTAAAGAGAAAACCTAACAAAATAAACTGCCTGCAGAACGTAAATTAAATAAAAAATATTTTTCCTGTCATTGTACTTTGTACTTTTAGGCTGTAGTGGGCAACATTTATAAAAAAAAAACTTCGAAAACTAGTCTATACCCATTGAGTACAGCATACCATACCATGACTTAGTCATACCAAAAATTAGAAAAACAACAACATTGGTCCACAGGGGGAGCCACAGTGATCTGTCGCATTTTAGCCATTTTTAAGCATTTTTCTGTTGTTATAGCGCCACCCAGTTGCCAATTGGAGTTAAATTTCTCCAGTCACCTTGAGGCGTCCTGTTCTACATATCTACCAAGTTTAGTAAAAATCCATATGGCGGTTAGGCCTAGATAAGAAATGAGCTCTCTAGCGGCCCCATTTTGTTTGATGTGGTCAATAATGGAGGGGTCCCCTCAGATTATGTGTGGTCATATGCCTACAAAGTTGCGTGGTGATGGGTGAAACCCTTGAGATGTTATACACCTTTATGTGATGAGCCACGCCCTCCGCAATATTCATTGCCTTATAGAAGCTCAGTTTTAGTAAGTTTTCCAACTTTTGCCAAGAGGGAACTTTAGATATTGGTCCCTAGATTATGTTCACC